GCCCTGGAAGAGTTCAAGGCCAGGTTGGATGGGGCTTGGAGCAACCTGGGATAGTGGAAAGTGTCCCTTCCCAGGGCAGGGGGTTGGAACTGGATGATCCTTAGGAATCACAGACCATTCAGTGATTCTGTGATCACAGCATAGTGGTCACGAGTTCACTGCCTCAAGCACTGGCTGTGTGCAAGCAGGTTGTTTTCCCACAGAACTAACCCTGCTCCGATGGTGCTGGAGCTGGGATGTCCTGCAGTAGCACTGGGGACACTGGGCACCACAGAGAAGGTTCTTCTCTGTCTTCAACACTGGCCAGCCTTCACTGTGTCCTGTGATTCCCTGGTTACCCACTGCTGTGAATTTTCTAACTGTGGTGTTGTTCAGGTCCTGCTCGCTGGAGAACTGTCTGAGCTGGTTATCGAGCGACCTGGAACATGAAGCAAAGATGCCAGACTGAGTTCACGTGACTCCTTCCACACCAAGGAATGGCTGCTGGGCTTCATTCGTGGTCCATCTACAAAGGAACTGAGTTCAAGAGGAGCAGAACTCGTACAACCACTCCTGGTCTCCAGGGGTTCACTCGGGGTGGAGAGATGACCTGGAGAAGGTGCTGAGCTGGGACTGAGTCCCTGCTCTCCCTCCCTGCCCTGCATGGCTGGAAGCACCTCAGTGTCAGAGGTGGCAGGTGCCTCAGGTTCCCTCTCCTCAGTTCTGCCCATTCAGACCAAGCCTTGCACACAGTGCACTCGACCTGCTGTGTCCTGGGCTGGCAGGGCTGGGTGCTGCTCTGGGGTTGGGGTGGTTTTAGCTTGGAGGTCCATGCAGGGATGGAATTGCTGTGCCAGCAATTGCTGTGCCAGCCAGGCTTTGCCATCAGTGCTCCCAGAGCTGATGAGCTCCCAGTCAAGGCTCTTTCCTTTTCCACATTTGTGGACCAGCTGAGGGTCTCTGACTCCAGGGGTTTGGGCCACTCTGTTACAGATATTACAGACAACACCACGACCATGACACCTACATAAGAGGAACTGTATCTTCGAGGGGCCTCTTTTCCCTTTGTTCACTCTTTTATCTTTTTATCCTTGCTAAATTTATCAGAGCATCTTTCTCCCTGCCCTCCCCTCTCTGGCTTTTGCATGATGCCTTTCTGCATCCTCTGGCAGACTCGAGCACAATCTTTTAACAATTTTCTCTACCTGCATCTCAGCAGGATTTTCCTCCAGCACAGCTGGTGCAAAATGAGTGCATGGGAGTGAGGAGAGCAGGAATCAGTGGCCAGGAACGCCTCAGTAAGCTGCTTTTCTTGGCCTGAAGCTCTGGACCGTCCTGAGGGCTGGAAGGAGATGTGCAGTCTGTGTTGTTTGTTTATTTTTTAAGGGAAATGTGCTCTTGGGAGCTGCTCTGCTTGGCAATAACCTGGGTCCAGAGCTTCCAAGATGGGATTGAAGTGGCTGCTCTGTTCCTCACTTTTGCAAATTCTGAGAGCAAATAATACTCTGTCTACGGTTCTCTGACCCCTGAGCTCACCTGGGCACAAGGAAACCTTGGCCTTCCCTCTGAGCTGCTCCAAGTGTAGGGCAGGACCCAGGTGAGTCAAGGCATGATGGGGTTTCTCTCTTAAAGGAAAAAAATCTGCTTTTCTGCTGCCATTTCTGACCTGCTCAGAGGGGGGATGACAACTGAGGGGATGTTGGGGTTGTGTCCCTAAATTTTAGCCACTGTCCCTCACACAGGAGACCTGTGCTCCTGCCTCTGGAACACAGCAAACTGAAAGTCCTCTTTGTGATTTAACCAGAAACACCCCCAGACATGGATCTGGGCTGTCCCAGGAGTCTCTGGGATCTGCTGTACCAGGGCAAATAAACAGTCCCATGGGTGCTTTCTGTGCTCCAAGTGTCCCAACCATCCGACAGGATCAGACCTGCAATATTGTACCGTTTTCTCTGCCCTGTCTCTGCCTTGCCAGATGGAAGTGCTGCTCCATTAAGCCCAGTCACCTGTCCCAGGCTTGGGATGGAGGTGAAAGTCCAGGGAGATGCTTGGTTGCCTGGCAAAGCTGCTCAGGGCAGAGGAAGGCTCCTTGTTGAAGCAGAATCAGCCAGTGTTGGAGAGCAGAGTGATTTCCTCACCTCTGTCTTTGGGGCTTATGAGGAGGAGTTACTCATGACTGAATCCATTTTTAGAATTTGCCAGGGGATGCTCTTTGCCCTCCTGTAATGGGAGATTATGGATGTCTGACCTGTTTCAGCTCTCTAAATTTTTTGCTTTCTCTTAACTCCCCTGCTTTTCTCATAATCTTAAAAAGCCCAACTAAATCCTGACGCTTCCCCTCTCAAAGCTGAATAATCCTTGCAATTGCAATCTCTTTTTCTTCTTTAAGGCTTTCAGTGCTTAAGATCTGTGTGATCTTCCTTATGGTGTGGGGGGAAAAAAAAACCAACAAAAAAACACCACCCCCCCCAAAAAAAAAAAAAAAAAGCCCTGAGCACGCAGATTGAGGGAAGGGCAAACTGTGGTTTCATAGAACATCCCCACGGCAGGCTGGGATCATCTTCTCCTCGTCACAAACACCCCCACCACCCTGGCTCTGACTTCACTGCAGTGCTGTGGTGGGGAGCTTGTTCCTGGGAGAAAGGAGATGGTTTGGTGGCTGTAGGAGGAGAGAAGGGGATGTGGAGGTCAGAATTTTCCCTGATTCTCAATAAGACCTGATGCAAAAGATATTTTTTTTTTTTGTTCACTTTTCAGAGCTGTTGTGTCATTCACCCACTCCACTGATCTTGTATCTTGATCTTGATGGAAAATAACGTATTTCTTTTTTTTTTTCCAGATGCTGATTTCCCTCGGAAGAGGGTGGGGGATTACTGAAAATGGCATTTCCTCTTCTAATGTTTACTGAGAAAAAGAGTCAGATTTTCCCAGTGAAAAAGGCCACAGAATATATTAGATTTAGTGGCCAGAAGCAGAGAAGTGAAAAATGTAGACAACTGCATAAATCAGCTGAGGGAAACTTGATTTTCATGTGAGAGATAAACGCATCACAGAAAGAAACACAGTGAGGATGAAAATGAAAATGTTTTTAGGGAAAACTTTCTCCTGCCCTGCTCATCCTGTGAGCTCCCTGCACCTCTACAAAATAGGGAAACTTTCCCTGAAGACCCATTTGTGTGGATGAGCTCAGCAGAGCTCGGGGGTGAAGAGCTACAGGAGGAAACACTCATTTTAACGCGTGCCCGGGGTCTGTTTGAGTGTAACGGGGATGCTGAAACACTTCAGCGTCTGTCTCTGTGCAAAGTTTTCCCCAAAGCCTCCAGCACTCAGTTTAACCAGCAAATTAATAAAAACAGGGGTGGAGAAAAAGTCTTATTTTATTGCCTTCCCAGCAAGCACACGGGCAGGCAAATCACGGATTGGAGCTGCTTCTCGCTGCCCTGCTCCCCTGGGCTGGCACAACCCGGGTGCCCGTGTCCCTGTCGGGGGGGGGCTGGTGGCTCCCGCTGTGTCTGACCCTCGAGGCAGAGGATGTTTCGAGGCTGCGCCTTCTTCCCTCTCTCTTTTCTGCCGTGTCTCGGCGAGTTAGAGCCGCTCCCGGCTCCCCTCGGCAGCCGCTGCTGCCTCCGAGTGTGTCTGTGGCTCTGCTGCGGCGTGAGAGAGCCCTCCAGACACCAAACCCCCCTCGGGTAACAAGCCAGTTTCTTCCAGAGAGTCACCCTTTGCCTCTTGCCAGACCTTATTTGTGTCACTTGTGGATGCTGCCAGCCCTGTCCCTGTCTCCCGAAGCCGGCAGATGTTATTGCTACAGGCTCGCCTGGTCGGTGGGTTGGTTTTGAACTGAGACAGCTTGGATGACTAAGGCAAAAAACACATTAGCAGCAGGGTCCAGGGTTTCCTTGCTGTGGGGGAAGCGAAAATGCCCCCCTGTTGACAGCCCTGACTTCTCCGGAGGGTCCCTTCTAAAAAGTTAATAGTTTGTGTCCCAAATTTAGCCGAAATGCTAAAGCATTTCCTCCCCAGCCACTGCAGTGGCTGTTGCCGTGCGGCGCTCCAGGAGCGAGGAGGAGTTCTCTCTCTGACTCGTGGTGGAGGGAAGCAACAGAGGGTGTTGGAATAAACAGGATTAAAGGATTTCGTCCATAAATACAGGATTAAAGGTATCCAGTGCTCTGCAGGAGTCATTCAAACCAAGGAGAAACAAAGTAAGTTGTCCAGAAGGGCGCAGCTCTGTTTCAATCCAGCGCATCCCTTCACCGCTTTGTCCCCGGGCGCTGCTGCGGGGGCTGCACCCCCGGCCCCCCGCATCCCTCCCTGCCCCGGGGGCTGCGGACCGAGCCCCCCGCTTGCCCCGCACCCCCAGTCACTGTCCCCCCCGGCTGAGCCTTCCCGGGGGCTTCTGATGGCACGGACGGGGGTGCTGCGGGGGCTGCGCGGTGGGGGCACCCCTGGGCGCGGCAGCTGGGCAGGGCAGGGCACATCTGGGCAGGGCACATCTGGGCAGGGCACATCTGGGCAGGGCGCGCAGGCGCGGGGGCCGCCTCGCCTGTGCCCCCCGCCCTTTTCCAGCCGGCAGCACCCCCTTCCCGGCCGGCAGCACCCCCGGCCGGGGCTCTGCGCGCCCGCGGAGCGCTGCGCAGGGGCACGGGAGGGGGCCATCCCTCCTTCCCCCGGGGAGGAGCCGCGGCTCCGCCGTTTTTACCGGGGTGGGCGGTGGCTGCCGGGCCGGGCCGGGCTCCATCCTCCCTCCTCCCGCCCCCCGGTGCCGGTGACTGGGGCGGGCGGAGCCGCGGCGGCCCCATTGGCTCCGGGCATCACATGCGGCGGGGCCGGGCCGTGCCGGAGCCGTGCCGGGCTGGGCTGGGCTGGGCACGGCGAGCGCTCCCGCGGCGGGCACGGCAGCAGCGCAGAGCCCCTTCCCAGCCCAGCCGAGGCACCGCGACCACCGCGGCCGCCCCCCCCGCCGCCCCGGCCATGAGGTCGGGCCGGAGAGACGGCACCTGTGCGGGGAGGTGAGCGGAGCCCCGGCGCCTTCCTCCTGCCCCCGGGCAGCCACCGCGGCGGGGGAAGCGCAGGGGGTGGAGGAAGGGAAAGGGATTTTTATTTTTATTTTATTTTATTTTATTTTTTATTTTTTATAATACATCAATATATTTTTGCTGCGGTCAATCCCGATCCCGCGACTGAAGCCCCCGGAGGGAGAAGTGCTGCGCGCTGTGATGCGTCTTCCTCTCGCCTCGGCTGCCAGTTTGGATTGTAGCGCCCGGCTCCGTGCACCGCGAGGATGGCTCGGTTTGGGGATGATCTGCCGACCCGCTATGGAGGTGGAGGGCCGGCCGGGGCTGGAAGAGGGAGCAGCCGGCAAGGTGGCCCCCAAGCCGGCCAAAGGATGTATAAGCAGTCGATGGCTCAGAGGGCCAGGACTATGGCTCTCTACAACCCCATCCCTGTCAAACAGAACTGCTTCACAGTCAACAGATCCCTCTTCATCTTCAGTGAAGATAATGTTATACGGAAATACGCCAAGCGAATAACAGAATGGCCATATCCTTTCAGGGAGGCTGTGTGGGCACGGGGGGGGAAGGTGGGGAGGGGGAGAGGGAGGCTGAGGGGAAGAGACCCCTCTGGGCAGCGCAGGATGAGTGTCTGGGGCTAATGCAGACGTGCATGTGTGAGCCAGGGTGTGCGGTGGGTGTGTGTGCCACGGATCCCTGTGCCCGACATAACGCACGGCCGTGTCCATGGGGATCACAGGGAGCTCCTCCTGTGGGCACAGCAGAGGGTGTTTTGGGGGTGCCCTATGCCAGGGCTCTGTGTCACACATACGTGCATGCCAGTGTGTCTTTAGGTGTGAGGTGGACATGTAGATTTACATTCCCTACAATTTAAGTCGGCTGCAAAGGGTTCTGTGAGGTTCATGCCGATGAATCCTGATTCTTATTTCCATCTTGGAGCCTTCCAACTCTTCTGTCTCACTCTGAACAGCAGAAGGGATAAAAATGGTGACACCTTAGCATTAAAGCTGCATTGATAGTAGGGACATTGATAGCCCAGCTACCTGGCGAATCTCAGGAATACAATCATTGCAGCTCAGGTTTAGCACATCCCCTAAACCTGAATCCATTAGAATCAACACGAATCATGGCACTCTGATGAGGTGCGTAGTCTAAGCTTAGGCTGTACTAAAAAAAAAAATATTAGCAAAGCCTTGAGGCAGAGGGAGGCAGTAAGTGGGGAGAGGGATCGTCTGCTGTGTGGTGAAAGGGGCAGATGCTTCCTGTCCGAGCCCCAGCTCCCAGGCCGAGTGATGATCCTCAGGAGGAGGCTTTGCTGGGAATGCTGGTTGTAAGCCATGAGCAAAGGGGAGCAGAGTGTTTGAGGCCACCAGGGAGTAGCTGATGTGTGTGTGTGTGTGTACAGGAGTGCATCGCACTGGGGGTCTCAAGGGAGCCGGCTGCTTTCTTTTCATCTGATATCACACCCCTGTTAATCCCCAGCTAACGGCAGCCAGGCCTCCTCCCAGCCTCCTAGCAACACTTTCAGTTGCCACAGAGGCCAGCTCCTCTTTAGGCTTCCCCAGTTTTCACTTCCTGAGGGGCTCACAGGAAAAATACACCCATGGAGCGAACGCACTTCCCTTCTCTCTGAACACACACACGTATTGATCTTTCTGTCCACGTTATACAATCCCAGGGATTGCTGTGCTTCCCGATCCATTTCTCCTTCCCCGCATTCCAGCGTGGATAAACAAGCCCCATAGCCCCGGTGGCAGGCAGAGCATCGCCCTGCCCGCGAGGCCGGGCGCAGTCTGTCCCTGCCCTGCCTCTTGGGCCACTCGGCTGCGTCTTTCCCGGGGGTGTGGGGAGGGGATCCACGGCTCTGCGGAGCCGGTGGGATCGGCGGAGCCACCGGGACCGGCGGAGCCACCGGGACCGGCAGAGCCACCGGCCCTTCCCCGCGGGGCCGCTGGGCGGGCGGGGCCGGGCGCTGTCCGCGGTGCTGAGCCGAGCTTTGCGGGGTGCTGAGCCGAGTTTTGCGGGGTGCTGAGCCGAGATTTGAGGGGTGTAGAGCCGAGCTTTGCGGGGTGCTGAGCCGAGATTTGCGGGGTGCTGAGCCGAGATTTGCGGGGTGCTGAGCCGAGTTTTGCGGGGTGCTGAGCCGAGATTTGCGCGGTGCTGAGCCGAGCTTTGAGGGGTGCTGAGCCGAGATTTGAGGGGTGCTGAGCCGAGATTTGAGGGGTGTAGAGCCGAGTTTTGCGGGGTGCTAAGCCGAGCTTTGCGGGGTGTTGAGCTGAGCTCTCCAAGGTGTTGAACCGAGCTCTCTGTGACGCTGAACCCAACTCTGTGTGGTGCTGAGCTGAGCTCTCCGCGGTGCTGAGCCGAGCTCTCCGAAGTGTCGAGCCGAGCTCTCTGCGGTTTAGAACCGAGTTCCCCGCGGTGCTCAGCTGAGCTCCTGCGATGTTGAACAGAGCTCTCCACAGTGCTGAGCTGAGCTGACCGCGGTGCTGAGCCGAGCTCTCCACGGTGCCGACTGGTGCTGTCCTTGGTACCACGCCGAGCTCTCCACAGTGCTGAACCTGGTGCTGAGCTGAGCTCCCCGCCGTCCTGAGCTGAGCTCTCCACGGTGCTGAGCTGATCTCTCCGTGGTGCCGAACAAATAGTCCCTGGTGCTGAGCAGAGCTCCCCGCCGTGTTGGACTGATCTCTCCCTGGTGCTGATCCTTTCTCCCCGTGGTGCTGAGCCTCTCCCCGTGGTGCTGAGTTTCTCCTCATGGTGCTGAGCCTCTCCCTGTGGTGCTGAGTGGATCCATCTCCCACCCCCAGGCCCCTCTGCCCTCCCTGGTGCAGCTCTGCCCTGGTAGAACCGGGGCTCGGCACAGCTCAGGGCTGGAGACAACAGCAAAAGGAGGGACCCGGTGCCGGGTTGGGATCCTTCCCCTGGGATTGCTTCTCTCCTACATCCCGACAGGGCGCTGGTGATTTTATTCTCACTGGGAGAATTGCAATCCAGCAGTAATTCCCGTTTTGGACCTGTGTACACACTCTAAATCAAACTTTTCCAGCCCATCACTTTATTTGCACCATGTGTTGAAGGGAAATGTTTCTGAAGGACAATTCAGCAGATGGTGCTCAGCTGTATTATCTATTCTGAGGCAGTTCAGTTTATCAATCTCATTTTAAACCAATGATTATTAATAGGTTTTTGTTTCCTTTGGACCTTTTGCTTTCTTGCTCCCAAATTCCTTGAGCAGCTCTGACTCTCTGTAAAACTCTGACTCTTTCAAAGAAGAGAGCCAATTGCCTACTTTTCTTCCAAACACAACCCAGAAAGAACTGAGGAAGTCAGGGAGACTGAATGCCTTCAAAAATACGAGAAATCTTAGAATGCTCCATTAATGTGACTTTGGGGGTAGAAATGGGATTTGGACGAGGTTCTCCTTCTGTTGTCCAGTCTCTTCTTTAACTTTTTGGTCCTCACTCCATTTGAATACATGATTTTAGCTACAATCATAGCCAATTGTATCGTGCTGGCTCTGGAACAACACTTGCCGGATGGAGACAAGACGCCGATGTCGGAGAGATTGGTGAGTTGCATTTATTTATGTGCAGTTTTTGTTCTGCTCTGATGCAGAAAACACTCAGCCCCCCAGTGCTGGGAGTGCTGGCATCTATTTTAAAGATCCACACGTAAACAAACAGGCATTGATCTGCCAATCACAAAAAAAAAAATCGCTCAGTGCCAACCAGAAGAACTCTCCCCTCCTGATCCCATCTGCACAAATGCTTCATCACTCCAGCCAGCCCTGCCCAGCAGCAGGAGAGGAGATGGAGCTTCTGTTCTCATCAGAAGAGCTACAAACTCAGGTTGTCTCTAAACCAAGACAAGAAAGGACTGATAAATGCTTAGAATTACCTCTGGAATCAAATAAACTTCTGTGATATTTTCCCAGGGAGTGGCAGAACAGAGTAACCTTTTAGGTTCAAGAGTCTCTTCCTGCCACTGTGCATATGAAGGATCCTACAGAGCAAACTTTGGGTTTAGATGATTGCACTTCCCTTCCAACAAAAAAGAAACCAACTTACAGAGGAAAATAATTTCCCTGCAGGCTTTATGGTAATGAGCCCAATTACCTTATTTCAAAAGAAAATAGAAGAATAGCTTCAAAACAGTTCTTCCATTTATCATGTAGGAAAAAATGTGTAACACTTATCATGTAGGAAAAATGTGTAACACTTGGGTTGATTTTTCTCCTACTGTTAATGATCTGGAAAGTCTTGCATGCCCAAATGCATTAATCCTGGTGCATGTTCAAAGGCTGAATAAATATGGATGAATAAATATGGATCCATATGTGTTTGCCATGTAGATATTATGTTATGCAAACAAAAATAATATTAGGCTTGCTGCCAAAAACTCGAGGCCCTGTACACTGGTTGCTGCAGTTTCCAAGGGTGGGCAACTCTCACAATCTCATCCTTCAGAAGCAGGAAAAGTGTGTTAGTGATGGATCCAAAAGGAGCATCAGGGTCACCTAAATTGGAAATGGAGCTGCTCCTGCTGCCTGTTCACCTCCACGGGCTTTGCTTATTGTCCCTGAATTATTTCTGCTTAACAAGTGAGGAGGATAAGATGAATACATGCATTTCTGTTGATCTCTCTGCCATTTAACATCCTCTGTGTGCTTTAGGAGGGGTCAGCGAGGCCAGCCTGGGGCTGTGAGCAAAGCACAAGTTTAGGCCCAGGGTAGTGACTGAGCTGGAAAACGCTTTCCATGGTTATGAACATGTGGACTGGTGAAGGGAGAAACAGTTTTGTGGCTGTTTTGGTCTGGTTACCCTTTGGTGATGTTTTAAGCAGCAGCAGGTGTGGTTAACAAGTTGGTTTTAGGTTTCTCTGTGTCCCCAGATTTATAAGGGGATTCCACAGGTGTTTTATTGTCCTTTTCCCCACTGTATTGATTCCATTTTATGGCACAAACACCTTCAGTTCCTGCTCAAATCATTCCAAAGGGGGCACTGGTATTACCACCAGATATTGTAAGATAACTGTGTGTATTAAATGCAGTCTCTGCCTTGTCGGCTCTGCCTTGGGTGAGGAAGGAAGAATTAACTCCTGATTTTCATCCCTGTTGTGCACCATTGCCTTTGATCCAGGTATTCTTAAAACATTTTAGCTACAGCACATTCATAACTCTGAAGTATAAAGGGGTTTAGTGTGGAATAACACAGAGTCTTTACAAGTCATGAAATATCTTTTATTTTCAACATATGCTGGAAAGATTAAGCATTGTGAGTAAGAAAAAGTGTCTTCTGGTTTCAAAGTGAAGCTGCTTTAGAACGTTCCTGCTGCTTCCACAGACTGGAAGTTGCTTCATTGAAAATGTTACAAGTCCATGTTAAACCAGAGTGGGTGAACATTCCCATACATTTACAGGTTTGTTGAGCCAAATTCTAATCCTCTGCAGAACAGCAGGTGCTTTTGGGCTGTCTTTGGCAGGAGTGGAACTGGCCTTTTCTTGGTTAATGATTGATGGATATATATTTCCATCTCCTGGGTTCATTGAAATATTCAAATTGGAGTGAGGGCTCATCACTGAAGAGTTAATCAGATGTTAAGGATGTGAGATGCACATCACGAGCCTTTGATGACTGGAGATGTAGGCAGAGCTGTTGAAGTAAAACCAGAGCTGCCTGGGTACTTTATTCCACAGATACAAAGACAAAAATCTTAAGACTGTCTGTTTGTTAAAGCTGAGGAGAAGAGGGAGGAGCCCATACAAACATTTTAATGATTTTTGTCTTCTAATCAACATTTTCTTCTATTTATCTCCCCTGAGACCCAAGAGATGAACCTGCAGTGCAATCTCACTTGGCTGTTTTCTGTGCTCCTCTTACTTTGACAAACAGGGCTAATGAAGCACAAGTGATGCCTCAGTACCTCCAATATTTCAGGATTTGGAATGGCTGAGTTAGGAGGGATTTTTCTCTGTCCATTTCCTGTGAGTGGTTTGTAGCACAGAAAAGCATCACTTGGCTCTGGCGTGGAAATTTTGGACAAAAGCTCCGAGAAACACCAGTTTGGTGGTCAGAGAATTTAGTGGTGAACCGGAGTACTGGTTTCGTCTTCAGACAAGAGAAATCAGCTTGTTCTCCCACCAGCAGCAGACTGACCTACCCCCGAGGTTCTTGCCTGCTCTGAGCTGGAGCTCTCACGTGCTTTGGTTGCTGGAAGGGTTTAATTCACATCAGCAATTGTCCAGTGGACAGAGATGCTGCAGATTTGCTCCTGCCCATCTCAGTGAGTGCCTCAGCCAGTGGTTGTAGAGTCAGGCTCCCCGTGCCCCAATAAATATTGCATTGTTTGTACACACTGGAATGCTGCCAAGCTAAAAGATGCTGAGGGAGTTGTACTGAGTGGCCCAGAGCCTGGTGCTGAGAGCTCCAAATGTGAGACTGTGAACTTCCCCTCCCAGCCCTGAATGGCCTCGCTGGTGGATGCTCACGATGCTCTTGGCTGTGCAGGCTGAGACACGCTCCTTCCCTCCCTGCTTCCTTCCCAATGACTCAGTTTTCCATGAGAAGCTTCAGGTGACTTTAGATTTGGCCCAGTCTGACAGAGGTGATTTCAGAACCTGCAGGAGAGGAAATCCCTTTTCTGCCCTGCTCTGGGGCAGCCCCTGTTTGAAGACAGCAGGGGGTCTGTAGGACGTTCCCTGCAGGGCTCGGGCTGGTTTTGATGTGAGGACAGATATGACTTTTCTCAGATATTCACTGTGACAGCTTTGCAATTTCCTAATGGATTGAATGCTTTATCCCATCCACAGGCACTTCCTGCAGCCATATGTGAGCTGTTCGTATTAACCTTTGCATGAACAAAACCCTTCACACCCAAACCCATCAAGGCCGTCGCATCCAAAGGCCAAGGAAAGACACTCGGACGTGGACTAGGAATAGTAATGACTTTCCAGACTCAGAAGTTGTTTCTGATCTGAAACATATTGATTAAATGTGTGTTTGGCCCAGTCTCAAGCTTTTCTGTGTCCACAGCAAACAACTTGCTGGCACAGCTCTGGCTGCTGCCCAGATTCTCCACCCTCCTTCCCCGCTCACACACTGACACTCATTATCACCTGCTCTCCTGCTCTTGAACCCAAGCAGGGCACAGCCTCCTGTCTGGAGGGGGCTGCAGGCCGTGCTGGCAGCAGGGATGCTGAGCCCACGGCAGTGCCATTCCAGCGCTGCCCAGGGCATCTCACCCGTGTCCTTGCCCTCCTTCCGTCACGCACAGTCCTGTGAATCCTTTTTTGGACCTCGACCCAAAGGGGCACATCTCGTTGTGACTGCCCTGGTTCTCAGGCTGAGTCAGTGCGAATTTAGGCAGGCTTTAGAAAAGACCCTCCTTCCATCCCTTCTTATTTCCCCAGCTGCTCACTGCCAACCTGACTGGTTTGCTTCGTAATAAATACCCAAATCCATCTGTGAGCCCTCCTGCTTCCCTGGAAGCTCAGAACTTCTTTGACTCGCTTCCTAAGCGCTTTGTGCAGTCCTAGCTTTGGGAAGAGCATATCCTATCAAACCCTGGAGTACCTGAAGGCTGGCTCTTTAAAGCTGGGAGCTGTAATCACAAGGCACCTGACCTAGATTGAGCAAAGACTGGGAGCAGAGTAGATATGAGGCTTCAAGGAAGTGAGGGAGTAATGTGGAGGAGTGGATGTGGGTAAAGGTAGCTTTTTTTGGGTGTGTTAGAAGAGTTATTTTTAGAGGCACGCTCGTAGTTGTGGGATGGAAATATGGGATGGGCTGGGAGGCCTTTGTTTCCACGGATTATCCATAGCTGTTGAACTAGGAGGTGTTGTGGGGTTGAAGAGCAGTCCCTCTGTGCATGAGGGAAAGTAGAGGAGCAGTAAGGCAACTTCTGAAACCACATAGGATGATTTGTGACCCCCTCTTCCTTATTCCCTCTTTTCTGTCTGGGTTGATCCCTGGGATCCCTCCAGCTCTTGCTGTGGAGCAACTGCTGGAAGAAGATGCTTATTGTAGGATTTCTGTTGAAGGTTATAAAAGGTCTGATGGCCTTTGTCGCTGTTTCTCTGTGGGTAAACAGCACTGGGAGGGGCAGCTGGAGGTCTGTCAGTGCTGGTTTGTGTCCTCTGAGCAGCACTGGGGAGGCTCTGTGGAGGCACAGAGGGCTTGGAGGTGCTGCTGCTTGTGGAAACATCTCCTTGAGTGGAGGAGAAGTTAGTTTTGGGTGTGGGTTTTTATTTTCTCCTCTCCATTTCAGCCAAAGGCCTGCAGTGAGAGCTCAACTTTGCCCTGCTGTGTTTTTCTGTCTGGCCAGTCAGTGCCTGGGTGTGACCTGCCGGTGACTGTCACCTTGCCAGGCCACAGGGGAGTGGGAGGGGGGGTTGCTGAGGCAGGAAAGGTGGAGGGAATGGAGATAATACAGGGTGAAGGATGAAGTGTGTGGAAGAGCTGGGCCCTCTGAGGTGTGTAGGGTGTTGATTTGTAGAAATAAAACCTTAATTCAGCCCCTGATGGAAAAGCCTGTCCAGAGGGAGCATTTTCCAGCAGCTTGGAGGCATCTGCAGTGATTAGTGCTCTCTGGTGGGCTTGCTGAGTTGGGATGTACCTCCAGCCAAGCCCCTGTGGGGGGGATGTGCTGTTGTGTTACACAATCACAGACCAGGTCAGGTGGAGGGGCCCACAGTGTCCCAGCTGGTGCCACCTCCCCGCTCCAGCAGGGCCATCCCATGGCACAGGATTGCATCCAGGTTCTGGAACATCCTCAGTGAGGAGACTCCACCACCTCTCTGGTCTCTGTTCAGTCACTGCCCAGCAAAGAGGTTCTTCCTCATGTCCAGGTGGAACTTCCTGGGCACCAGTTCCTGCCCGTTCCTCCTGTGCCATTGCTGGGCCCCCCGAGCAGAGCCTGGTCCACCCTCTGCCCCCTCCCTGCAGGCCCTGATGG